ATTTCGGCAGCATAACGACTTATTTTTCATATAATCCAAAAATCAAAACCTGTAAAAAAACAACTTTAAAAGATTTCGGTACACCATAGCTGCAACATGTGCCACCCAGAACAAGAATCACAAACATATAAATACGATAATGAAGTCAAAAAATAAGTACTAACCTTCTTATTGCGATGCTGAGAGTACGATAACCGACCATGTAAGCTTGGATACTTTTGGTTGCTGCGATTAGTTTTATTTGTCTTTGATATTTTCTGTTTATGATTAACTATAATAAGTAATAGTTACTTGAAATTATGTATAAAAATCATCAAGTTCTAACAAATCTATAATTACTTGAAATTTGTCACCGGAGAACCTATCGCAACAACGATCCCAATGAACTTGATTTCTCATGTTACTCGGGGGACTTTCTCTACCATAGCATTTGTAGTGGCAGGGTAGGGAACTTTTCCAGTCCTTGTAGCACTTTGTTGCCTCCCTATCAACAACGGACATCAGAATGCCGTTCTTATAGTTATAGTCCACGTTAAACCAGTCCTTGCAAAACAGTTTCACATCGCTAAAATGCATTGTTAACTATAGTATAAACTATACAAATTATTGCATAAAATAAATACCAGCATCCGGTCCTGAATTATCCTCTTGTCCATGTCGCTAATGTCCTTCCAAGCATCGTGGAAGGGCTCGCATATGTCCCTAGTATGAATACCAACCGCACTATCAAACCAGGCACCATATTTACCAAGCGCCTTCCAAGTACCTCCCGCCTCATCAAATTCTACTGTGATTTTCCCGTCTTGAAGGACCTTTTAGGCGATTTCATAACCTTTTGCCCCACCTCGCCTTCTACGTTGTCGAGATTCAGGTGCTGTAAGCATATGAAAGCATTTCAAATCAACATGTACTACTACATTTAATTACTATATGATAGAACGAGAAACCACAGCCAGAATAACATACCAGACTCACAATATGCGGGGACTCTGTGAGGACCGGGAGGAGGTTGCGCTCCCTCTAAAGAGCCAGCGCAAGTTGCTACCCTACCAGCCATCAATGTCTGTGAACAAATTCATATTAATAACAATATTTATAAATTCAAATAAGATCATAATATTAAAATGAAATCTGAGAAAAATGACAAAGATTACTATTCTGTAGTTCTATTCATCGTCGCTGCTACATTGTTGATTGTCTCCATCATCATTTATGTCATCATCGTCTTCAGATTCGATGACTTCCTCTTCAACGTACTCCTCTAAAGTTTCTCTTCTTCGTCATTAATAAAATCATCAACTACGGGAGACTTATCTTTCATAATTGCATCAACATCGAAAGTGACAACATTAGACGATCCATCATCTCGATTCAATACAAATGAGTCAATCTCTGGTAGTTCCACTAATAACTCAATATTTCTAGACTTTGTATCCTGGACTATCATCACGTCATCAATGTCAGTTTCTGGAATGTCCCAAATATGTCGATGTCTAAAGTGTTCTACAACCTTCCAGTTTGGACCGTTAAATAAATCGTCTACGTAAAAAACTTCCTCTGCCTGAGATGCAAGTATGAAAGGTTCATTTTTGTACCACGTGTCTTTAACAAAAACACTTATTCTATTTTTGTAGTGTTGAATCCTTTTCTTCCCTGGACGAGTGTCAAACCACAGACATTTAAAAAGCATAACAGAATTGTCATTCAAGTAGGACAGTTCATAAATATCCTCCAAAACTCCATAAAACATTTGGTTATCAGGTCTGCGAACACAAACACCACTATTTTGAGTACTTCGATTCATATCCCGATTGCGTGTTAGAAACTTGACACCGTTGACCACACAATTAGGATAACTTCGACATGAGAAGCTTGAACCACTTGAAAGCGAAAGTATTTGATCATTCGCTTCTGGGCCATTCTGCTTTTGAATATTGAAAATTTGTAACGAGACATGAATTTTCTTTAAAACGAAATTTTTTAATGACTTAACAATGTTAATGCAAATTAATTATAAATGTACCTTTCGATTGAATTTCATCCAATGGTATGATTCGACCGTCGGCATCAATCTCCTTCCTATGGTCACTGTTTAACAGAGAATGAAAGTAAATGACACGATTGTATGAGACACAATCAATGAATAATTAAGTGACAAAAGTGAAATTAATACGTACTCAATGAACTGCTGAATTTCTGGACAGTTCTGTAGGACGTACCACTCGGCTTTCTCTCGCAAATGAGTATCCAATGTGACGGGGGTCATCTTCCCAATTGGCCGACAGCGAGTATCAAATACAGAAATCTTTTTAACAATACGATCTTCATCGTCCATCCAATTTCTGGCCAGTCGGTTAAACCGTGTTTCTGCA